GTTAAGAAGGTAGGGAGTCTGTATATGTACCGGAACAGAAAGAGGAGTTCGACAGAGTTTGTCCAGGGTTTGATTTGCCTCTAACGCGTTGTAACTTGTTGGTGAGACTGACAAGACCCACTGACGACATCGGCTATGATGCCGGCGAGACTGGGAATGTATCAATTCCATAGTCCAACGCTACGAATTATGCTAACTACTAGAGCAGAGGAATTCGATTAAAGTGCATCCAACTAGGTCACCTCAACATGACCAAATGGCTAAACCGAGGTCGGATCACTTCACTTGTCTCTGACGCATGTATATTGGTGATATTAATGACACGACTCATTGAAACTGTCGATTACAATGCCGGCTAAACGTCTCTGAATTTACCAGGTCCATTGTCTGACTTTGGAAATTATCTTGACTATTATGGCATGGGGCTTCGCACAAGCTGCGTTTATTTATTGCATGTAAAAAAACTGGGTTCCACTTGCCTCATTGAACGAAATGAAACGTATATTAGATGTATTCACGCTATTTCGTTTATGATGATGAAATTCTGCTTATATATATGATAAATGGAAGGTACTCCAATATCAATTTGTTTATTTATGTTTCATTGATAACAGTATTAAACTTAAAAGACGATGTCAAGACCTTTTCTTTAGGCTTGCAAGTTTACGGGATTATTCCTACCCTGCTTTTGACATTGATGCTTCCACCTACTCCTTTACCTCTTCTATACATCTTTTTTTTCTGGCTATTATCAGTATATTCCTTAGTGACCCTTTCTATTATCTTTATCTTTTTGCTTCGCCAAGGAGCGGAGCTTGGGCAAAGAGGAGATTCACGCAGCTAACATGCTGACTGGTATAACGCTGAAAGAGAAGTTATCTGCCACTTCTGTAGTTGGTTTCAACTCCCTCTTAATAGCTAACGCCGCAAGCAATGCTAGCCAAACTGGGCATCATACTATTCCTGCTTTTTCCATATCTGGCGGCGCAGGAACTACATCTCCTGGATCCACCATATTTGAGAGGAAACTCAGCCCAAAAAGCCTTAGCCCGCCGCTGCCGTTGCAGGCCACTTTTGTTTCTGGGGCCCTTTCACAACCAGGTAATTCCATCAAAAAAATCACATTAAAATTATTTAGATATATTCCCTAGGATTCATATTTCCAGATAGCTTTTAATATGCTCTTAATCACAATTCTATCTTGTGGACATGTTTTTTTCCCCTCGCAAACGTAATCGTCTGGGAATGTACCACGTCTACGGTCCGACTTTGGAAATTATCATGCATACAATGGACTCCGGACTAGGTGCGTTTCTCTAGGTCTTTCTACCATTATGACCAAGTTGCGAAAACAAGGTCAAACAACTTCAATGTAGTCGATTGTTATAGCAAAAATACGTTTGCTTCATCGGCAATCCTACCTAAGAATGTGATATGGGAAAAAGCCTAGCCTTCTTCGGATTAGACATCTGCTCTGTGACTCATGGTCACTCGTGCAATCTGGCTGAGTGGTTGAAGTGTCAAGCTCACATGCTGCACTGCAATGTTCAAGTCTTATTTAGTTT